CGTGAAAATTTTCGAAAATTCGTTTCTTATTATTTGATATTATCACGAGAATATATTTTGCGAGGAGGTCGATGATGCGTTGATGACCTCTTTACAAATCATGTTCTCCTAATAACGCAAGCGTGAAAATTTTCGAAAATTCGTTTCTTATTATCTTATATTATCAGGAGAATATATTTTGCGAGAAGGTCGATGATGCGTTGATGACCTCTTTACAAATCATGTTCTCCTAATAACGCAAGCGTGAAAATTTTCGAAAATTCGTTTCTTATTATTTGATATTATCACGAGAATATATTTTGCGAGGAGGTCGATGATGCGTTGATGACCTCTTTACAAATCATGTTCTCCTAATAACGCAAGCGTGAAAATTTTCGAAAATTCGTTTCTTATTATCTTATATTATCAGGAGAATATATTTTGCGAGAAGGTCGATGATGCGTTGATGACCTCTTTACAAATCATGTTCTCCTAATAACGCAAGCGCGAAAATTTTCGAAAATTCGTTTCTTATAATTTATATTATCAGGAAAATATATTGTGCGAGGAGGTCGATGATGCGTTGATGACCTCTTTACAAATCATGTTCTCCTAATAACGCAAACGCGAAAATTTTCGAAAATTCGTTTCTTATAATTTATATTATCAGGAGAATATATTTTGCGAGGAGGTCGATGATGCGTTGATGACCTCTTTACAAATCATGTTCTCCTAATAACGCAAGCGTGAAAATTTTCGAAAATTCATTTCTTATTATCTTATATTATCAGGAGAATATATTTTGCGAGGAGGTCGATGATGCGTTGATGACCTCTTTACAAATCATGTTCTCCTAATAACGCAAGCGTGAAAATTTTCGAAAATTCGTTTCTTATAATTTATATTATCAGGAGAATATATTTTGCGAGGAGGTCGATGATGCGTTGATGACCTCTTTGCAAATCATGTTCTCCTAATAACGCAAGCGTGAAAATTTTCGAAAATTCGTTTCTTATTATCTTATATTATTAGGAGAATATATTTTGCGAGGAGGTCGATGATGCGTTGATGACCTCTTTACAAATCATGTTCTCCTAATAACGCAAGCGTGAAAATTTTCGAAAATTCGTTTCTTATAATTTATATTATCAAGAGAATATATTTTGCGAGGAGGTCGATGATGCGTTGATTACCTCTTTACAAATCATGTTCTCCTAATAACGCAAGCGGGAAAATTTTCGAAAATTCGTTTCTTATAATTTATATTATCAGGAGAATATATTGTGCGAAGAGGTCGATGATGCGTTGATGACCTCTTTACAAATCATGTTCTCCTAATAACGCAAGCGTGAAAATTTTCGAAAATTCGTTTCTTATTATTTTATATTATCAGGAGAATATATTTTGCGAGGAGGTCGATGATGCGTTGATGACCTCTTTACAAATCATGTTCTCCTAATAACGCAAGCGTGAAAATTTTCGAAAATTCGTTTCTTATTATTTTATATTATCAGGAGAAGATATTGTGCGAGAAGGTCGATGATGCGTTGATGACCTCTTTACAAATCATGTTCTCCTAATAACGCAAGCGCGAAAATTTTCGAAAATTCGTTTCTTATAATTTATATGATCAGGAGAATATATTGTGCGAAGAGGTCGATGATGTGTTGATGACCTCTTTACAAATCATGTTCTCCTAATAACGCAAGCGTGAAAATTTTCGAAAATTCGTTCCTTATTATTTGATATTATCAGGAGAATATATTTTGCGAGGAGGTCGATGATGCGTTGATGACCTCTTTACAAATCATGTTCTCCTAATAACGCAAGCGTGAAAATTTTCGAAAATTCGTTTCTTATAATTTATATTATCAGGAGAATATATTTTGCGAGGAGGTCGATGATGCGTTGATGACCTCTTTACAAATCATGTTCTCCTAATAACGCAAGCGTGAAAATTTTCGAAAATTCGTTTCTTATTATCTTATATTATCAGGAGAATATATTTTGCGAGGAGGTCGATGATGCGTTGATGACCTCTTTACAAATCATGTTCTCCTAATAACGCAAGCGTGAAAATTTTCGAAAATTCGTTTCTTATAATTTATATTATCAGGAGAATATATTTTGCGAGGAGGTCGATGATGCGTTGATGACCTCTTTACAAATCATGTTCTCCTAATAACGCAAGCGGGAAAATTTTCGAAAATTCGTTTCTTATAATTTATATTATCAGGAGAATATATTGTGCGAAGAGGTCGATGATGCGTTGATGACCTCTTTACAAATCATGTTCTCCTAATAACGCAAGCGTGAAAATTTTCGAAAATTCGTTTCTTATTATTTTATATTATCAGGAGAATATATTTTGCGAGGAGGTCGATGATGCGTTGATGACCTCTTTACAAATCATGTTCTCCTAATAACGCAAGCGTGAAAATTTTCGAAAATTCGTTTCTCATTATTTTGTATTATCAGGAGAATATATTTTGCGAGGAGGTCGATGATGCGTTGATGACCTCTTTACAAATCATGTTCTCCTAATAACGCAAGCGTGAAAATTTTCGAAAATTCGTTTCTTATAATTTATATTATCAGGAGAATATATTGTGCGAGGAGGTCGATGATGCGTTGATGACCTCTTTACAAATCATGTTCTCCTAATAACGCAAGCGCGAAAATTTTCGAAAATTCGTTTCTTATAATTTATATGATCAGGAGAATATATTGTGCGAAGAGGTCGATGATGCGTTGATGACCTCTTTACAAATCATGTTCTTCTAATAACGCAAGCGTGAAAATTTTCGAAAATTCGTTTCTTATTATTTTATATTATCAGGTGAATATATTGTGCGAGAAGGTCGATGATGCGTTGATGACCTCTTTACAAATCATGTTCTCCTAATAACGCAAGCGCGAAAATTTTCGAAAATTCGTTTCTTATAATTTATATGATCAGGAGAATATATTGTGCGAAGAGGTCGATGATGTGTTGATGACCTCTTTACAAATCATGTTCTCCTAATAACGCAAGCGTGAAAATTTTCGAAAATTCGTTTCTTATTATTTGATATTATCAGGAGAATATATTTTGCGAGGAGGTCGATGATGCGTTGATGACCTCTTTACAAATCATGTTCTCCTAATAACGCAAGCGTGAAAATTTTCGAAAATTCGTTTCTTATTATTTTATATTATCAGGAGAATATATTTTGCGAGGAGGTCGAAGATGCGTTGATAACCTCTTTACAAATCATGTTCTCCTAATAACGCAAGCGTGAAAATTTTCGAAAATTCGTTTCTTATTATTTTATATTATCAGGAGAATATATTTTGCGAGGAGGTCGAAGATGCGTTGATGACCTCTTTACAAATCATGTTCTCCTAATAACGCATTTAAAAAAAAAAAAAAAATTTCGCGAACAATTAATGTTCGAAATAATTTACGCATTGCCATCCGCGTTTTGTGGGCTCTTAATGCTCTTTACTTAATTATCATGTTGATAAATACATAGAGCCGTATTATTTACCAATTTATTTTGAAAGTATTTATTTCATCTTTGAATATTACAGTATCTGTCGCGATTGAATAATTTATTTCTTATCAATTTACACACATAAGTATTTAATTGTTATATAACACTGGTGCTACCGGCATTTCGTGCACATAGCACGGAACAAAACCAGTAATTGTGCAATTATATATTACCCTCTGAGATCATTCATGGACTTTGACTTTGTAGTTCATGTCCATGTTTTGAATGTCCATAGAGGGAGTATCACTTTTGGGGTCACTCCATAGCTTGGACATGAACCATAGCTCAGACACGAACCATGTATTATTATCGACTGTAATGGTTGTAGTTGACGTCCACTTTGTCAGGGAGCGCATTAGGACAATATACCCGTTAAAGCGAGGTGGCCGCTCTCAGGTTTCTCTCTGATATTACATTATTGTAATATAATTTATAATTCCTTTATCATTTTGAAAATTATAAATATGAAAAAATACATACACATTATCATTAAAACAAATCATAATCATGAAAAAAATTACAATTGTATTTTATTTGTTTAATTTCTAATAAAATGATTGAAAAAAATCAATTACCAATTTTTACATATAATAAATGACTTATTTTGAAATAATTACAATTTTACATCGTACAATTATAATTAAATATTTTTAAATATGTAGAATTAAGTTGAATAGAATTGCAAAATATATATATATATATATATATATATATATATATATATATATATATGTATATATAACTCAATATAAGTCATATTTAATATGTATAATTTTTTTTCTTTGATGCAGTTTTATTTACTAATAAGAGAGAAAATATCTATAAACATACAATAAACGAAAAATAGATATTTCAATTCTTAAAAAATCTTATTATTTTTTCATTTGCAACATAATTGTTGCAACATATTTTTTCATTTGCAACATAATTGTTTGTTTTGTCATAAGCTACATTAAATACTGACTTGATAAGATTTAAAAAGTAATCAATATGATATCTCTCTCATATATACATACATTATTGATGTACTTAACATATTTGATAAATATCAGTACTATTCTCTTTCAAAGATTATTATTAAAAACAAACAAGACTTAGATATATGCGATTTTTTTCTGATATTCTTATATAGAAACTGATAATTTCGGTAAGTATAAGATATTTAATATATACTACATAATAAAATTTATCTAAATTATAAATTATAATACTTATAATTACATAATGTTATATGTATATTGCAACTTATTCACATATAATCATTGTATTAATAATGATGAAATCGCCGCGATATATATATATACAATATATATATATATATATATATATATATATATATATAAAATGCATTAGAGAGAATTTTGTCATGGAAATTTTTAATTTCAAAAAAATTATTCTTCTCTGATTGAAAAAAAAACAGTTGAAATAAAATATACAAATATAAGATCTTTAGATATAATGATTATTTTTAACTAATGATTTTTTAACTTTACGTTAAAAAATGTGATTCTTGATCGAATATATTATTTAACGGTCTTTAGAAAGATTTAAGGAATCTCCCATGTCAGCCGATTGGGACGGTTGCTTCTTATGTAACGCCGTCATATCCAACATACTTCCAAAGTCAGATTTAACACTCGATGATATTGTCAGATCCTCGGTTCCTTGATATTCTCCTGGTCTACCGATCTTCGTGGAATCAATCTGTACTTCCAATTTCTTACGATCGCTTGTATAATCCTCGGCACTTGCTGAGAAGCTTCTGCAAGCCTCCGAACTAGCAGTTTTGAAGGGTGACGGAATCGCGTCAACGGTAACAAAATCACCCGCTTTGCGTTCGTTACTTTCCATGTCCTTCGCTGGCGAAATCTTGCCGAGAGGGCCGAATAGATTCGCGATGTTACGCATATATGTGGATGGCGAAGGTGACGAGGTTCGCGTAAAATCCGCAATAGAGAAACTTGATAGCTTCGCCAAATCGGCGGTAGAGAAGTTTGCCAGTTTCGTCAGATCCGAAAATTTTGTGATCTGTTGCGTGATATCCGCTAACGGAAAGTCAGAATTCGATGTTCGACTCTTGGTGCCATCACCAGTCAGTGGATTCGTCAATTTTGAGAAATCCGTCGGTGCGAAATCGTAATCGCACTTTGCATTCTTCACCGATACTGTGAGTTCGCCCGATTGGAAACTCGGTATTATCTCCGAGGGAGATATGTGTTTGGAGATGGAATTGCTGTCTTTTATCTGTGTGATGGACGCGGCGTCATTAGGACCCATATTGTCTTTTTTAATGCCATCTCGAGAAGTCGAAGGTTGCAACACGAATGGCTTGGACGTGGGAGTGATTATGGCACCTCCGTCAGGTTTGAAGTTAACTGGTGCGAGAAAAACAGCTGCGTTACCAGCTGTGAGACCGACGCCTGGTGGGACAGGTGGTCCGAGTGATTCCGAGGAAGGTACTAAGGGAAATTTCACTGCCAAGAATTCGGGCGCGTTGGCGTCTTCAGAGCCTGGACAAATCATTTCCCTGATCACATCCCAGTATGAGCCGTTTGATCTATTTCGACCAGGCAATTTTGATGCCAGAGAACACTATTAATATTAGAGATTATTAGTATGATATTTAACAATTTTATCTGCACATTGATTGTTAATATACTCACTCTTAAACGTTCAAGATATGTTGTATTGTTGTTGAAATTAGCAGTAAAATCGATGCCACCTTCGCTTTTATAGTATTCTATACATCTTCTCTACAAAAGTAAATAATATACAATGAGATATATATATATAAATCATAAATAAACTTACTGATATATATGACAGTAAATAAAATTTTGTCTAATTATCACATTTTGCATTTGTCTTCAAATTTCGCATCTTACTTGAATTTTAATTTTTATATAGTTGGTAATATTAAATATTATATAATTTATTTTTTATTTTATATTCATTAGAAATACTTACAATCTCTTCCAAGGTATCTTGAGAAAGAAAATGTTCTTGTGATAATGTATAACTGAGAAGCATTGGTCGAGGATACTCGTGAGGTCTATTTTCAGGTGGTGGTAGAGACCAAAAAACATTAAAATTTGACTCATAGCAATTGCCATCCATATTGTAAGGAGCTATAAATTAAAGAGATAATTATAAAATGTATTAGGTTTATAGCTAAGTTCCCGCCTTTTTTTTACTTGAAAATGGATTGATTTCAATAAGAAAATGAATATATTAATCAAAATATAATCCATTGTTTTCTATGACTTTTTCCCATCTTTTTTGCAAAAATTGGATTCCGCGATAGAACGACTTGTTTATTGAAGCAATCCATTGATCACATTTTTGGACTTCTTCGTAATTGGAGAAGTGTGTATCGGCGAGCACGTGTTGCATTGATCGGAAAAGGTGATAATCCGATGGAGCTAAGTCTGGAGAATAGGCTGATGCGGAAGAATTTCGCAATCGAGATCCAATAGTGTTTCTTTTATGATTATTGCAACATGAGATCGTGCGTTGTCATGCAAAAGAATCACTTTACGTCGATTATTGTTTTTTTGCATGAATTCATCATTCAATTGATATAATTGTTGTTGGTAGCAGTCAGCTGTGACTGTTTCAAAAATCAATGAGCTTCAGCTGCAATTTTATTTAAATCAAAGTAGTGAAGAAGTACATGTCGAAAAAACAACTTATCACGTTTCATTTTAAATCAATTAAAAAAATATCTCTTTTACAAAAAATGAATTGCTCACTCAATTTTATTGACGAATAAATATATTGACGCCTAACTTCACTACATTTGCAGCTGGAGGACATTTAATTATGAGCAGCGGAAACTTAGTTATCCTTCTAATACTTTAAGAAAAAGAAAGTGAAGAAAAAAATTAATATATTCACAGCATATTAATCCCACGCATGGTATATATCCATTATCGCTAGGCCCCTTCATTTTGATCTGATAATCCAATTGAGAATCTACATCTCTTAATGAAGGTGATGCATGTGAGCGTGGATGAGAATGATACCATCCTACCAGTGTAACACGTTTCCATTCCATAGCTCTTGCAATTTCAGCTTCCACAGCTGCTGCAGCTGACTTCTCTTTACCAGAATATCGGCATGGAAATGCACATGTTATAGAAAGATCTGCAACAAAATACATGCTCAATCAATCAATATTGTAACTGTATATAATATAATAATTATTAATTATAATATATTTTCATATATAATTAAATTCAGTAATTATGAAATATACTATGTGAATTGATATCCCAGTGTCCGCCGAGATAACCACAAATTTCCTTATCTGTTAAATGACAATGTAAGTCTACTAATAAAGCTGCAGTGGTTGTGATAGTCACTAGAAAAGGTTGTATCTTTCCCAGTGTACTAAATGATGTTAGTTCTACCATTGTACTCATGTCCCTGCAAAATAAGAAGTATATTATAATTTTCATATAAATGAAAATATGTATAATAAAAAAAAATAAACATATATTTTTTTAAACTTACATGGCATGACTTCGTATGCCTAAATTAGCATGTTTCACTGGAACTCGTACTATCTGTATGATAGGACTGGTTTGAATTTTTTCGCCACTCTCCTCTGTAATTTCTACTGGTGCCATTTCCATCTCAATATACTTTTAAAAAGTAAAAGAGATATTGAGAAAAATGTGGCTAAGAATTAAAAAATTCACTTTCACTTTATATTCTCTTTCACTTTCTTCATATGACATTTATCAGATTAGAAATTTTTTATCATAAAATATATATTATTAATAATTTTCTATCACTTCTTAAAAAATTGTGACTGCAGCTTTTATACACAAGTAGTGTAAAATATAAAAAAACGTATTTTACAACAAATTAGGAAAATACATATATGCATTGCACGATAGCGTTGCTACCTAACTCAATCTGACTTGATTTGACAGCATAGACACAGTATATACAGTAGCGCAACTAGCTATCTGTCGGCACCTTATGCGTCGTTTACAATGAGATTTTAAGGAGACTTAAGGCGTAAGATTGCACCAATGTTATTTCAGCTTTAAGCGAAACTTAAAATATGTGTAAAAATATGTGTGTATTAAATATATGTGTTATGTTGGCAACCGGCCTTAAAGTGTAATACTTAAGAAATTGGCCAATCACAGTCAAGTATTAAGAGAATATTCAACTGTGGGTCTGTTCGTTTTAGCTGCACTGCTGCACTAGTGCAATTAGTTAGAGTGAAAGAAAGTATGTTTGTCTCTTTTTAACTTATTGCACTAGTGCAGCAGTGCAGCTAAAACGAACAGACCCTGTGATTGGTCAATTTTTTAAGTCTTATGCCTTAAGGCCGGATCTACAATAGATAATTTAAGCCCTAAGCCTTAAGAAATTGACCAATTACAGTCGAGTATTCTCTTCATACTTGACTATGATTGGTCAATTTCTTAAGACTTAGGTCTTAAATTGTCTATTGTAGACCCGGCCTAAGGGTGCAAACCCATGGCGTACGCAGAAAATCGCGGAAGCCTCGACCAATCACAGGCATTCCGCTATTTTCGTTGCGCGGATTCACAATCCTTATGTACCCATGGAGCGTAACGAGAGCAGCGCGGATTGCATGTGACCAATCACGAGTCTCCATTTAAAATTTGTTTAAATTTTATTTCAATATTTTATGCCCAGGTAGCAAGATGACATCTAAAGACGTCTTATGTCGTCTTTAAGACTACCTGGATACATTAAATTAAATATTTATAACAGGAAATCCATTAAATATTATATTTATAAACGTGATTATAATAATTACTTGTAAATAAAATAATTTAAAAGTAATTATTGGAATATACTAATCGTTACGCTTTGCTTATTCCGCTCCATGGATATCTCGGGATGTGATTTCGCGTAACGTATGTTGCGAATCTGTCGAAACAATGTTGCCGAATTTGAAAAACATTGTTGATGCCTGTAAAAGGACTTCTAAGATGAGAAATGAGACAAAATTTTGTATTACAAAAATCTTAATAACTCAAAAACTAATCATTTCCGGATCTATGTTGATTAACTTTTTTTTCTTCTCTAAGCATGAGGAATCCATTCCTGAAATTTTACCCACCACTTATGAAACACCCTGTATATGTTGAATTATACAAATACTAATTTTATATAAATTATTTATTTGAAAAGATATATGAATTATATATTTGAGAGATAATATTCCACACAGCACCAAGTAAAGTATTACTAAAACTGGACTTTTTTGTCACAGACATCTTTTACTGACATCGTCGACGAAAAGATGGCTAAAAGTCATTTCATGACCCGAATTCAGTGACTTTTTAGTCTTGTCCATATGATGATTAAAAGATGACTTGATTTATTCTATATAGATTATCGACACTCGATAGGAAAATACTTCAACATACGCAATAAATGGGCTATTTCTCCCATTTATCCGCCTAATTTCTAATAATCTGTTTAATATTCTAAATCCCAACAAGGAATCCAGATTATTAAATAAATTATTTTAAATTTATTTTGTCAGAAATTAAACTAATAAACAGTAATGTCAGGAAAAGGATGCGGCTCACACGCATACAATTATTCTGCGTAGCACATGTATGTGGCTCTCTCTGATTAATGCGTGCGAATAGCATTCTCTTCCTGGCATTACTGCTCACAAAACGCAAAAATATGCTTCAGATTTTATATTAATTACTAATTCTTTATATACATTTCGTGATAAATATTAAATACGAGATAAGTTAAGAATGGTTCGCTGCGTCAAACAGAGAAACACGTGCCATATACTATTATGTCTTTATAGACATCTTTTCGTTTTGTCGAAAAAAATAACTTAAAAAAGACATCTTTTCGTTATATTTTAGTATAATGTGCTGTGTGGGATATGAGATAAAAAACTAAAACTTTTACAGAAAATTAAAATTATTTATATAAATAGTTGCATATTTTATATAATTATATGAAATCAAATTAGCAATTAATATATACTCTGTGTAAATTTTTATTTAATCAAATAACGTGCAAGATAATATATTCAAGAATTTCCTGCAAAATTATTATTTATTTAAAATGGGTATATGTGTGCAACAATTTATCCGAAATATTTATTAAGAATCATGCAATAAAGTTTTTGAAAATAAAGTTATTGAAAATTCATTATGAGTTTTCCATTGCAGATATTATCTAGAGAAATATATTCTTAACTTTTGTCTACAAATTTAAAAAAATATATACAGATTTATAATTAATTTTAATTTATAAATGTCCTCTGAATTTGTATAATACATTACTTTAATAAAACGGAGCTATTGTTCAAATTAGATGCATTTTAATAAATACCTGATTTTTTAAATCTTTAAATATTGAAAAATTTTTTTCGAATCATAAAATATTCTTCTTTTGTTTAAAATATGTATGTGTAACAAATGCAAAATCGATATGTTTTTCCAAATTCAATAGTTTGTTCATATGATATTGCCTATAAAGACTATAAGGTCCTTTCATGTACGTTTCAATTATCGTTATGTAAATTGACTCTGTTTTGTAATGTGTGCTGAGCGCAGGATGAGCATGAACGCGTCGAAGCCTTCCGGGCAGCTCTGCTTGCTACGCGCATCTAAAATTGCGATCATATAAAGGTGTTATTAGAGGAAGCGCAAGAGGAGGTCGCTTATTTTCTAATAAAAGATGAAGAAGTAAGAAAAGAAGAAGATATACATTTACAGTTACATATTCTGAATAGATAAACATTTGAGTTTTACATTCTATATTAAGAGATGATATTTATTTTTTAAAGTATAGCGAATATATCCAAATTAATTATGGAATTTATAATATATATATATATATATATATATATATAATTAATTACAGAATTTATAATATATAATATATTATATATCCAAATTAATTTGAAATAAATATTTTACTTTTTTATTTTTATATTCTAAAAGATAAAATGTTTGTACGTTGTATTAAATGATTAAACTTACAATTAGCATGAATCATACCTGAGAAAAATTAATATTATTACATTAAAAAGTGAAATAATATTTGAAAATAATTAAATATTAAACATTAATTATTTGTCTCATATATTCCAATTTAATAAGTACAATATTATTATCTTTGATCTAAGAATAGCCATTGTGTCAATTTAAAAAATTCATTAAAATGTAAGTTTAGAGTCAACGAAAAAGAAATTATTTGGAAACAAGTATATACAACAAATAAATAAAGAGATTTATAGATAGATTTGTAGGAAATTGTTAGGGATTTCTGAGGTATAATGAGACGTGTCCGATTGTATGAATATCGGTCCAGTGCTATTGTAGACATCACATGGGTAAACTGTTTAGGCGGATTATGGCGACAAGCTCTTTGTCACATCTGTCATATACGAAGCGTTATATTTCATTTTCATGCTATATTTCAGCATCCAGATTTCGTTTCCTTTCTCCATCATTGGGAGTTGTCACATAATGTAAAAATAGGATTAATTTTGATGTTATGGCTAATATACATCGTGTAAGCGGGAACTTACAACTCCTCATATCCAGTCAGATTTGCTATTTCTATTATTTTCGATTTAATTCTATTTTGATCTGGAAATAAGAATTCTCTGGTTTTATTCAATTTATTTATAATAATAATTGTTTAATGATATTTATAAGTATGAAAATATTAATACTCAGAAAACTTTTCCATTTTTCCATTATATTATATGCAATTAGTTATCACTTTATAATAGTTTTGCGCGAGCTATTATATATGTTATATGTAGTAAAATAATTTTTATTTAGAACATATTTTCTTGATATCTTATATGGTTGGCTTTCAATCTCGTTTAAATTCTGTTGAAAAAAGATATAAATAATAAATAAACAGTTTCAAGATATTCTGTTTATCATAAGAAAGATAACAGATTTATCTTACATTTAGAGTAGAAAGAGACAACACATATAATACAATTAGAATCATCGATAACGATTCTCTATGGATGCTGTACGCAATTAAGGAGCGCAATACAACCCATTTTCTTCCATTTTCATCTGATACAGAAGAGATGGGAGCATCGGGGGTGCAATTCATATTTGCTGCCGCAGTCAGCAGCGGAGAGAATTGCACCTTTAATCAAGATTTCTACCAATTTGCGAGCGCCGACGGCGCGAAGACAAAGCCTATTGTTGCCGTAACTGGTCGGAGCTTCAAGTGTTCCAACGCAACGGTGAGAGCCTGATGGGCGCGTGTATACTGGGTGTACCGACAAGAGAGACCGATAAATTCCTGACATACTCATGATTTGATGATTTTTTCATTGATCAATTGAAAATTATTAGATAATATATATAATTCGTCGAATCACGATGGGATACGATTGAGTCCTATTTTTAGATTCATTATTGAATTTCTTGTATTTCAACACCTCAGAAAATCAGTCTACATTTGACAAAATCTGAATCCTTTACAATTTCTAACTGAATTGTAGGGAAATATACTGTATTATATATATTTACTTGTAACTAACTTATGGTTAATTATATATATGTGTGTAAATTATATTATAATTATATTATAATTATATTACCTATAATTGTTGTAAAAATAAAAAGTAAAAAATATGTAGATACAAAAAGATATAAAGTGCTGGAAAGATTTTGGAATTAATAATTTGGAATTAATAAATTTTAAGATATATATATATGCATATATATATATATATATGCATATATATATATATATATATATATATATACTGGAAAATTTAATTTTTTTTTATTATATCTGATAAAATTTTGAAATTATTCAAATTTTATATCTCTGTTATTTATAATAATTCCATTATATATATGACTGACAATTTTTTGTTTATGAATAATCAACGATTTATAAAATGGACAACTATTTACGGATTACCCTGTATACGCATGTCTTCACTGTCGGATCGGGATAGAAGAAGAAGATGAGGATTTCATGAAGGCTGACGCTCAGGAACCGTCGAGCTAGTCGTTTCGCATCCCAGAAGTCTCTATCTCACCGCTTCCGGCTAAGCCCGCTGCTGTCGCATCCCAGGCAACTTGAGGCTACTTGTAGTTTTGTTTGTGTTTGCTAATTGTGAATTGTCTACTTCTTGCCGGTGGCTTGCGTGTATGAGGCGCCGAGAGCAAGTGAGACAGACGTTACCTCGAATCTGCAAACAACGGAGACAAGGGAGGAGAAAGGGAGGTAGAAGAATGGAAGGAGAGAAAAAGGAAAGAGAGGGATGAGAGCGACAGAGAAAGAGAAAGAAGAAAAGGGGGAGGAGAGGAGAGGAGAGGAGAAGAGAGAAATAGAAGGATGCAAAACATAAGCTGCACGAAGTGAGCTTTCGGTTGGAAGCACATCGCCTATGAAATGTCGGATCGAAGAAAAGCCACCCCCTCGGGGCAGCCCAGCAGCCGAGTTGACTCCTTCATCCTCGTATCCAACCTTACGGCTACTGTTGACTACTCTGCACCACCACTTTTGTGCCGTAGATACTCGAGTTTACCTCGCTAGTCGGCAGTGCTTGCACGAACACCATTCGCCAAGAGTCACCCGCAAGCGAGAAGATACCAATTTTTAACCGCCTTTCATACCTCGATCGTACCTCGAGCAGTTCAAGATCCCATCGTACGTTCAATCCATTGCTAAGAACAATTTTCAAAATATGCAATAACAATTTTTATTCTATTCTTTTATCAAAAGTCAAATATTAATGTAACAGAAAATAATAAAAAATACAAAATAATAAATAAGAGAGATTTTAAAGATGAATAATAATTTACGTTAAAAATAAATTTAAAGTTAAAAATAACACTCTTTTGTAGCCCATTTAAAAGTTTTAAGCAAATGCTCTTAACTTAATCATCGCGCGGAACGAACGACGCTTTAATGAAGCAGTACTGACCGTCGAATCGTTTCAGCTCGCGTTAATGAGACAATTTTCAATGTCGCCCCCGCACGAAATAAAACGGTGCTGCGGCTCGCCCTATTGTGAGGAAAATGCGCGCACCCTCCGTCGGATGCTGTTGGACGAGCGGACCGAAATATCACCCCGTCTCTCCAGAGACAGGGGACATATTGTTTGGTTCAGTAATTCCTCACGTTATTTCCCGTGTGTTTGCTTTTTATCATTGTAAACTGATATATTGTCCGGGGTAATTCTCCCCCTCGCGCGATAGAGAAACTTATGGATGCGGCAGAGAGAGGGATGCGGGCGCGAGCGACGAAAGGGGTCGTAATCGCTCGAACTAGAGGTGCGGAGTTTCACTTCGTGAAGTGATGGAAACGAGATTACACTCGGCCATAACGCCGAGCTGCCTTCTTTATTTTTAAACGTGGTCGCGCTCGACGATGGAAGCTTGTTTTAACGCTTATCCGCGCGGGAACGTATGTACATACATGTCCGGAAATGAATTTGATAGAGTGACAGCGCGCAATTGTCATAGTGTTCTGTTTTTCATTTCAATCTCGTATTTTTGATCCGTGTTAGTTCAAGTTGACATGGAAAAAAATTTCGCGATTCCAATAATGGAGAAAAATTTTTCTAACAGTGATGGAAATGTAACTCGAAGTAATTCGATTAGAAGGCGAATTTCATGTCAAGTAAAATAAAAAAAGAAAATAATAGGAAATAATAAATTGAAGATATATGAATCATCTAGAACATTTTGTTCATATCAAAAATACGCAAATTTAATAAAAATTAATAATCTAATAATTTATGATTTGCCACATAAAATATGGCACATATAATTTGGAATTACTGGTCTGTAAAATCATATTTCATTAGATATTAAATATGTTCTACATTTTTACATTTACTAAAAAGATCGTTATATAATTTATTTCCTTTACTTTAAATAAAAATTCCGAAATTTTTAATCAAAGTAAAATAAAATATAAATAAAGAATATGTATTCTTTTCAATTTATCGTTCAAAAGTTACCGATAAAAATTTTTTCTTATTGTTGGTCCATCATCATTGAGATATTGTATTGACATACATGTACTTCGTGTCAATGTTTGAGCTTGAATTCTCTCGAGTGTCGCGTAAGTACTTGCGTGCGACACTGTGATATACACGCTTGTCATATGGCATGACACGTGCACCAAACGCTAAACTCATTGTATGGCAAACAACGAATTAAGTCTCACCGGCCATCTCTCGCTTTCTCACGTTATTCAAACCCGAATCAAATTCTCTATATTGAAATTTGTCAATAAGACGTTGCGAGTGCGACGAGATCAATCTATAACAAAGTTAATGATGAATAAATGTTTCCGTTAAGTACTAAATATGAACAGTGTACTTTGCATGCAAAATTTAACAGAACAAACATATTTTTCGAAAAATAAGATTATACATTACAAGATAGTAACAATAGTCTCGGCTTTTGCTTAAAGTATAAAAAGAAACAAAATTAAATTTGTTTAAACGCACATATTACATACGCGTTCTATATTATAACATAAACAAGCTGATATTATCGTACATGAGATTTTAAAGTAGTCATTTGGCATCGTCAAGTCCATTTAGATCTCGGGTATGTTCGAAGCTCCCAGATCTACACAACGAAGATGTACTTATCAGTGGAACGTAATTTGTGTTCCTCTTCAGTTAATTATGCGCGGGAGGCATTGATACCGAAAGGGGCGAAACGAGACGAGGCGATGTTTAAAGGGCAACGGTGTAATCTGAAGAAAGAGGCGTCGAGGCGCATCGTGGCATCGTTGAGTAAAATGGATGGCTATCGAGATGTGGTAGCAGAGAAAGAGAGAGAGAGAGAGAGGGGAGGGAGAGAAAGAGAGAGAGAGAAAAAGAGAGAGAGAGAGAGACATACGGTTAGGTTTGTGTCGCACACTAGGAGTCGCCGTCTTAGTGAAAGCTGGCATGATCTAGCATGGAAGATCTGAAGGGAAAAGGGGGCTGTCTATCTGTCTTTATCAGCCGGGCAGGCAGGTAGAGCCGTGTCGAACCGTCGTGCCATCCTCGCTTCCCTCGCTTACCCTCTTTTTCCCTTCATTCCTTGCGCCTCATCCCTCTCGCTGAGAGCTACGTCAACGGTGAGAACACCCGATTGGCGTTTCTCTCTCGAATGAGGGAGGACATCACGCACCCCTATTGGCTCCCGGCGAATCCATACTCGGTATTCATTCGCCACCCCATTCGTCGGCCCCTCGCGGGGCCGAAATCCCGCGTCTATCCCCCTTTTCCCCGCGTATTCTCTCTCGTTTATGTCCTCCTCTTCGACACCCCTTGAGCGACCGATGCGACTCACCCCTCTTATACGGGGCGCCTTCACAATGCATTTCACCGCCGGCGCTTTCACCTTTCGCGCCGGATATTTCTAAATAAATACTTTTTTAATAAGCGTTGGCTGCGCGAACGGCGAGTAAGCGTCGTAACTACAGCGCCATTTTTCATCACGTTTTTGTGCCCGGGGAGAAAATTGGATTTCCACAGCCAGTCGTTGGAGTGCCAGTCACTTTTCTCATTCCGATATTTGCTGTATCTAACTGGGGTACCATGATTTTCTACTAATGTTGGCAAATGGTACAGAAAAATTATTCTCTTCTCTCTCTTTAAATAAAAAATAAAAATTTTATACAAAATAAAAATATATAATATATATTTAGAAGTTGGTTGCAGATGTCTTGTAATAGTATATAAGCAAAGTTAAAAAATTTTGTACTATACTTATATCCAATATTATATAAATTATAATTATTTATTATAATAAGAATAATAAAAATAAAGTATCAGATATGTACTTTACATCAAAAATTTAAAATGGTTATACATATAAAAATAGAAATATATAAAAATAGAAACTTTAAAAAAAATACACCTAAGTTTATAATATTGTTCAGAAAATTATTCAAATAGAAAATATAGTTTAAAATTAATAAAATAGTTTTAAAATGAATGCGCATAAATATTTGCTATAAATATCGCGTAACATGAAATATAATCTTATCAAAAATAGAAATAGAAATCTTTTTAAATTTAACGTCTATTATCAGAAACGCAATTCAAATTAGGCTGTACTTTCTACGTCGATCGAATTATTGAGAAGTTCGATGTATAAATAGTAATTTTTCAAGAAAAGACTATTCATCTATTTTGTTACTGGTATTTAGAAAAATGATAAAATGGCATTTAAAATAAAGAACATCTTACAAGTCCCAACGAGCAGCGGTACATGGGAGCATCGCCGATATCTGACTTCTGATGCGGCATGGATTGGTGGCTGGTCGACACGGCGGTGAACAAATTAGGCCAAGAAGGAGCCGACGCCTCAGCACCGAAAGGAGATCGATGCAAAGTGTCGAAAGCGAGGAGAGCGAACCTTCGCCTGTACTTTTGACGTCGCCAGTTATACCTCGCCCTTTCTGTCGCAAGCTGAGCGACTCACGCGGCAGACAGAAACGGAATAGCCGCGCTGTGACATCCTGATGGATAAAAGTAGGAAAGAGAGCAAATGAGAGAGGGAGGGGGAGAGAGAGAGAGAGGGAGAGAGAGAGAGAAACGCCCGTCGAGAAACGTGGGGATGAAGAATTTTACGGGGTGACATGGGTCGAGCAACGAGAAACGGGCCATGGATGTCGGCTCCGCCTATCGTACCGCCCACGCCGGTGGTGGTTGTTACTAGCTAACCTTCCCTCGCCCTTCACCCTTCACGATGCAGCTGGAACCTTCTCGCGGCTTGCTAGCAGGCAGCGCACACACGTCATCCTCACCAGCGACGAAAGGCGCCTTTAACCGTCGCCCCAGGGTCGCCGTCGCGTTCCATCCATCGGAAATCATCGGATCCATCGATTTTAGACATTTAGAGTTTCCCCGGAAGTGATCCAAGTTGTGTATCGGATTGTGTGGCATCGATTGGAGTTCAATGAATTATATTAGACTGTTTCGAGATTAAAGATTCTCTGCCGTGAAACTTGCCGAATTGAATAGAAAGAGGAGGGAAAATAGTGGAGGAAGTATTTTGGTGCGCATAAAAATGATTGATTTCAATGATAATAATGTTTAAACAATGTTGTTTTCCTGAGACAGAATGATCCTTCGAACTCGATATCCTAAATAATAATTAATCAAATGCAAAGAGATTTCAAATTTGTATCTCGATGATTACGAGTAAATAAAAATGAAACGGAGAGACTAATTCGATAAAAATGTAGAACATTATTGTTAATCATAAATATGGAATATGAATTGATTAGAAGATTGGAATCAAGAATCTTGATGCCAACGAACAGTCAGGATAATGTAAAATTGATTATTCATGTGTCGACAATCAAATCTCGGAGGCTCTATTTTTGTGATGAAGACGAGAGTCTCTTGAATTTGGTGTCGTTGATTCGTGTCGCGATGTGTATAGCTTAAAATTATTCGCGACAAATTTGTACAATCGCTGAGGACGATATGAAGAACGTGTAATGTGACTGATGGGAAAGAGAGAACTTTACGCAAAACTTGAATTATATTCAATGTTAAATGTTCGACAATTAATTGGAAATCGGTGAAAGTGTTCGGGCTGGTAGGAAGAACGTTGTGTAGTGTGAGCTGTGCTGCCGAGTTCGATTAAACAGCGAATTTTTCACAATTTCTGTAAGTATAAACAATTAAAAGAAAGTGATATTTTTTTTTTAATTTCAGAAAAAAATTAATAATAAACTGCAATCAGTATAAATTTCTTTTATGTTATGTCCACATTTTCTTAAATTTCTTTCTTTTTCATTACACTTATGTTTCATTAAGTTATAATTGTTTCTTAAGAGTTTTTGAGATTTGCGAAATATTATATTAGTTCCTACGAATTTTAAAGACATATATTAGAAGTTAGTTGTATATATTTTATTTACATTTAAATTTTATATATTAATTATAAAATAGATATATAAAAGATAAAATAATATAATAAAATAAGATTAATGTATAAAAGAATTATTTTTTCTTTTCAATCTTTCAATCGATTATTTACGAGTTTTATATTCTATTCTGTTATTTGAGTAAAAAAGAATTTCTTCTATATACATATGTATATATATAACTAAAAATATATTATTATTATTATTATTATCACTATGATATCTATTGTTATCATAAGGACACGTTGATAACAAAGCATAATATTAATGTAATCTACATATCTTCATATCTTTAATAACAAAATGGTGAAATGCTTGTCTGATAAAGAGAGTAACGCCTATTCGTGTGTACGCATATTCAAAGTTTAGAACATGGAAGTTCATCAATCGAAGGGTAGATTATGAGATCAAAGGTTCGGTGTAATTAGCTAGAATTCATGGACGGGTAAAACGAAGTTACATAGCTTTTCTGCATCCGGAGAGTACTAAATGGATTAAAACGCTCGTCGCGTCGCATTGCTTTCTATCCTCTTGTGCTGAAAATGTAATATATTGTGGGTAATCACTGAATGTGTTCAAATAAGATGGGAAAAAATAAATAACAAACGCATTAGAGTTGTCGGTTACTTTTTGATGAAAAGAAATAAATTGTTTATTCTTTTATAATTATTATTTTAAATTTAGAAATGTTAAGATGTCAGAGACACATGGGAAAGAGAAAATGTAAGTCTTTATACAAAATAAATTATCACAATATACAATACAGGAATCAGTTCTACAATACTCAGATTATTCATCTTCATTAATGCAACTTTTATAAATTTACATTATTATGTAGAATTTTAATACAGTTTATACAGTTTAAATTTACATTATTATGTAGAATTTTAATACAGTTTATACAGTTTAATACAGTTTATACAGTTTAATACAGTTTAATACAGTTTATCACTTTGCCAATTTACTTTTTTATCGCCCATGCAATGGCTAACCATCAGATTCGAATTTATCTCGCGGTGATCTTCTATGTTGAGAAGAAGATATCAGTGCAAACGACGTGATTATCCGACAACCACATCGTCCATCTGAGTGTTGTACAAATATAGCAACCTACCTTTCTCCATCTCTTTCTCTTGTAATTATTTAGATACATACCTATGCAATGTATCGCGTATTATAGCGATAAAAACATTTAGCATTCGAGAGCGCCTCGATAATCGTCACGAAGGGGAGCGTAACAATTCGCGTATCCAAAACAGCGTACACGGTGCAAACAAGCGCGAAGCAGAAACGGCGCGGTGAGTGCCACTGGAAATTAACGAACAATTAGTTCGCCCCGTCCATGTTTTATAAATACGCGCGTTCTCTTTTTCTCTTCCTTTCTCTCTTTCTCTTTTGTATCACCGACAGCTATTATTTTCAAGGATTCGTTTGCCTGCTCGCGCCTATACTTACGCGCTACCTATCCAAGTACCCTACGTTCGAGCATGTGTCCGAAGTATCCGAGTATTCGAGCGAGTACTTAAGGCTTTCGAGCATCGTACGACCAGGAGAGGGGTCTTGTAGTGTTTCGTTGCCCTTAAAAGCGCGGGGTGAGATGCGGCGGACGAGGGTAAGCAAGGCAACTTTTCGCGTTGCAGCCTCTTCAAATCTCGTGCAAACACTCGGTGCGGAGCTGTACGTTCGCCTCGGTACAGCGATTAATATCCCAATAAGGTCTCGTTCACCAAGCTCACTCGACCACGCCCGGCTTCGTTGTTTATTCATTGTATCGTCGGAATATTCTCTCCCGCGGGAGATAAGCTGTCTCGATGACTGCTGCACCACCATGTCCTGATTTCGTAGGTTTCTTGGATCGAGAATTAGAAACTAAAGCTCGTATAACATCATCCAAAAAACGATATAATACGTAATATGAATAAATATTAAAAAATGCAAAATAGCGTGATATATCATGAATGATAAAGGATCAGTTGAGTTTATTTCTATCAAAAGATTAAAAAATAAAGATTTTTGTAAATTTTCAAGTTAAAATCTCAAGATGTTAAAAGATTTAAATATTAAAAATTTAGGATTTTGAATTTTTGAAATCTTCAAACCGCGTAAATTTTTGAAATTTTTCCAATATTTAAAAGTTTTAATTAGCTATTAGTTTCATTGAAATTAATATTCTTTTTATTATTGTTAATGGAAATAATTTTGTTAAATAATTTTGAATCGCAATTTAAAAAAACAACTCTTTCTTATTATTTACATAAACGTAGTTTTGATTAAAAAGGAAGCGTCAAGTTTCTTATTTTAAATGCAATAGAAATGTGTCAAATAACTTATATCGAATGGTTGTATTGTAATTTCTTCGATATCGCGCGATTTCGACGGATGGATTGGAATCTTTGGATGGAATTTTCGTTCGCGCATTGCGGATACATGTCAAATTTGTCATTTAATATTATGAGCGCAGCTGACGAATCTACAGCGGCTGAATAGCGAACTTTAAGAGTGTACGATTAGCATATTTATCGAGCGTGCTGTATCATTTCGTTCGCCGGTGTTAAAACGAGGCGACACGCCATGGCATTAATTGCCAACGCTGAGATACGACCGGCTTGACCGAAAAACTTGATATCATTTTACTGGTCAAGCCGCCCAATTATGTTCGACTGTGTTAAGTATCCATCTTTATTTTATGTTTTATTGCGAACTAAGTGGAATAAAATTTCGCGCTCGAAGATTGCTTAATCTTAATTTTTGCTTAATTAGTTGAGCCGAGTATTCACCGTCGGATGTTCAACTCACGATGGACAACAATTTCTTGGAAACTGAGTGATATAAAATATAACTGTTGCAAAGAATGAATTTATTTATTTATAATTAAAGAAAAAAATATATAAATTCCTAGAGATTTTAAAAATTTTGAACATTATTATTGTCCAGCAGGATCTTTACGATGCGATAATATAATAATAGGATGTTAAAATTAAACTATAGAACATACGGATATTGTTACTTGAACTAAAAGTAAAATTTTATTTAATCCCCCCACGCAACTAACATACGTTGGAGAGCGCGAGAACGTCCTCGAATTCAATAGAACCGCCGCGACTTCCTTTCTCGCTTTATTTTCCCCGTTGTGAAGTCTCGGGCATTATTACGCTACTTGATTTCGCATCGAGCCAGCTGTCTCCGATTATTCGCTATAGAAATTTCGGGGATTCCGGTTCAAAAGGGAGACCCCGATATCCTCCGCTAATATTTGAGGAGAGGCCCCGCGTAGTCTTGGGTCTTACCGGACGTCGCGGACGGGCTTTCTTATTGTACAATTATCCTCAGGCTTTTTTCTTGACGAATAGACACAACTTTTCGGTTATGTAAGTACATACAACGGATATGAGTGTTATGTAACTGTCATACGCAATCAATGGGAAATTTTTATCACGCTTAAAAATAGACATTTATCGTTTCTATCATGAAATTCATTGCAACGTGTTCTAAAAAATGTTAAAATGATATACGCGTGTATACACGGATAAATAACTTTTTATCATATAATACTATTTAAAATTTGAAAGTAAATAATAAATGATAAATGAGATTTATTTAGAAGAGAAAAAGTTGAGAGAAGAGTTTAGAATTAAAAAAGAGCTTAGTGATATTTTTATGTTGTACATAGAATTAAGAGATATATCGTAAATTTCCGATGAAACTTACAATTAAAAAATTGAACTGAGCATCGAAAAATCTTTTTGTTTTCTTAAGGAGCTTTAAGTTTTGTCAATTATATTTGGCAACGAATATCATGCTGCGTTAATTTAAATCATTTAAATTATTTAAATCATTGTTTCCTTGTGCGAAACATTGTTTCTGATCTTGATAAACTGACGCGTTTTGTTGATTAAAGATATCGCCGATTTGGGAAACTTGTCTCCTGATGGCGGCGGCGCTACCCCTCGCGAAATGCCTTTTCATTGAGTGATTTCCATGAGAAATGATGCGCAGCGATGAAGTTCGGGGTGATCACGCGAACCGAAAGAGTAACCAAAGTATTCTGAATATGCGCGAACGTTGAAGGGACAGAAATCATTACCCGCAGACGTGGTACTTAAGTTTTGCAATTTCTTATCTTTCCATTATATATTTCCAATTATTTTTCACCGATACTTTGTTTTGTGCCAAGAATTACAGCGATGATTAGTTCAAATAATATTTTCAGTGGCATAATTTTTTTGCAATTTTGCTATAATATATTCTTTATATATTTTAAATTGGTGTAAAGCGCAAATATTTGTCTTTAGATACTTCCCAGCAATATAAACAATGTAACATTTTGAAGTTTAATTCTGCATTAATAATTTTAAGGAATGCATTTATTCAACAAGTGACAATAATATTGAGTGGCACGATTTTGTATTTAAAATTTTTTAATTTCTGAATTATTTCGTATATTTAATGCACCATATTATATATATACATATAATATTATTTTTTATTCTTATCATTTTTATCATCCTTTTCTTAATTTTTCATATTTTCTCTAATTTTTTGTTCTTTTGTAAATTCCTTACGGATGTTATAATATAATATTATAGCATAATATTTGATATTATTATGATAGAGTATGTTTATTCCATGCGTCTTCAAACTCTTGCACAATAAAAAAAACTTGCGATTGATGGGCGCAATACTGTAAATATAGTGGAATATGTGAAACGTGAAAAACGTGAAACTTAAAGTTCGTGCTGT